AGAGGCGCATCAGAGAGAGCCCAAGAGGGGAGGAATTGGCACGGAACCAGGCAGGCTTTGATCTAAGCTTGGATGTCCTACTTGGATGACTTTGCTGTCTCTCCTTGGTCCAGAGAGCGACTTAGGAAATGTGGAAACAGGCTCTCTGAAGGTTTAGTATGCCGGTTTCAAGATGGTATCAACTCCAGCAACCTCTCTGTCCTTGTAGGGATAACGTAATCAAGACAAGTGATGGCAGCATGGGCTGAGATCCTTGAGGAACTCTGCATCCAAGAGCACAGCCAATGTAGAAGAGGGTGCTAGAGGTGGGGTCCTGCAAAAGGAACTCTGAAGTGGTATTTGCTGGCAGGAGGTAAAACTGGGGCAGGGGATGCTCTTACCATCATCAGATACAGGGGTGGTACTGGGTGAAGCAGTCATGGGTAGAGAGAGAGAAAGAAGTTGGACCTAGAAGCAGTGGTAAGGAAGGTTGCTGGTGACTCTAGGGGAAGCTCTGGAGTGACAGTGTCCCTTCATGTGCACCCCAAACTGAAGCAAGGTGAATAGTCTCTTAACCTCTGACCCCACCATGTTGGTACTCGATGGAAGCTGCCTCCGGAGAGGAAGCTGAGTTTGCATGCACCAGGCACTGTATAGCTTAGCCCAATGCTTGCTTATTTCCTTGGGCCTCTTCTTGTTACACTGCAGGCTTTTCATTCCACCCTGGGGTAGACTTGACTGAGAGATTTCAGCATCTCAGATACTGTCTTCTACCCCATGAAGCATGATTAATAAAACTCAGAGAGAAAAATTGGGGTTCAACCTGAAGATCCGAAAAGCAAAGCAGCAGCCACTGAGTCTTACCTCGACCTTAGTCCAAAACGACGATCCTGCCTTCAAGAATCTCAGAATGAGACTGTTTCTTTCTGTTTTATAATCATCTCTAGGGCTGGGATTAAAGGCATGCACCACTGTGATTAAAGTCATACATCATCCGGTTTCTATGGCAAACTAGTGTGCCTACTGGGGTTAAAGGTGTGTGTGACCATCACTTGGTCTATAAGGCTGACCAGTGGGTCTGTTTTACTCTCAGATCTTCAGGTAGTCTTTATTTATTAAAATACAATTGAAATGCCACTACCACACCCCCTCTCCATTCCTGCTTGAACAAAAGAACGATATAAACCTTTTAGGAAAATCACCCACCTAGCAGTTAGACATTTTCCATTTCCATCCACAAATTATTCGAATCTCCTGATTGTGCACTTGTTTGAAACAAAAGCTAGATCCAGTAGTTGATTCTTTTTCTTCTTGTTGTTTGTTTGTTTCTCTGCATGATTAGCTTGCCCTTCCAGGCTAATTTCACTCTTGATGTGTCTTGACGAGTAGTGATGCATTGAAGCCTTTCAGACAACCTGGGCATTACTTATTCCATGATGCTTACTGGGCAATGCTTACAGACCTTCCCAATGACAGCAGTTATACATACAGTTTCAGTATCATTTTAGAGCTATTTTCATTTGTCTGAAACACCCACTACCTGCCATGCCCAGAACTGGACTGGATAAGGGAAAACGTAACTTGATTGTTTAGTAAAAAAAGCACCGACATTTTCTCATGTGGGAAATAGAAACTGCTTGGTGGGAGGGGATCTCTTCTGTACACCCCCTAGCTTTGCATCTTTAAGGCCAATTGTTTCTTTTTAATGCACTAGAAAGTTCTTTGAAACTATAGAAATGTCTTATAGCTCCAAAGTGATAGGGTCTAATAATTATGGCCTGGAACTTTTAAAATTCTAAGCCAAAAATAAAGCTTTGCTTTTCCCAAGGTGAATCCTGGGCATTTTGTTGTAGTGACTGAAAACTGGATAACTGATGTGGGATTCCCCTCTGTATGCTGTGAATATCATTGGTTAATAAAGAAACTGTCGTGGCCTGTGACAGGGCAAAAGAATAGCGGTAGGCAGGGAAAACTAAACTGAATGCTAGGAGAAAGGAGGCAGAGTAAGGAGAAGCCATGGAACCGCCACCAGAGACAGACATGCCAAAACTTTGCTGGCAAGTCACTGACACATGGTGATACACAGATTATTAGAAATGGGTTAAATTAATATGTAAGAGCTAGCCAATAAGAAGCTAAAGCTAATAGACTAAGCAGTGATTTAATTAACATAGTTGTGATAATAGATTAGTGTGAGCTTACACTAATAATAATAGTGAAGTAGTAGAGTGAATACTTGTGAGCTATTATTTATAGGCAATTTACATTGGTGTAGATTCTTATATATTGTAAATATATTGAATATGTTCCTATTTTCGTCTATATTTGTATATCTAGGCAAAGTTATTTTGTCATATTATATGCTTGCGTGCCTCTACCTCTGCTTAAAACATTTTTGTATAGTGATACAATTTTAGGATATATTTATCATATTGCAATGTACATTTCTACCTCTGATCAAGATACTTATACATTGTTTGCATTTTGAGGTCATTATCCTCATTTGTTACACAGTTGTTTATAGTATAATATTCTAATATGAAGTCTTAGACTTTAAGTTTATATAGGTCTTAAGAATTATAGATCAATAGTCATCTATGTTTGTCATACTTATAGTTAGGCTAATCAGGTTCTTTAGATACATAGAGATTGTATTCTGCATAGATAGGTCGTCTTCAACCACTTCAAAGAGCTGTAGAATATGGCATTTAAATAACTTAGGGTTCTATTGATGTGAGACACGATTGCTTTTGGCAGCACTGATCTATTCCCGAGAGTATGTTGAGCACTGAAGACACTCCACTCAGAGTTTGTTTTCTTCTTGGCATGATTGTCCTTTGGGCAAGGAACTGCCCATGCCTTAACCACTGACAAGGTACATGCTATCTGGAAATGGATAAGCAAGACACAAGGAAAAAGACTGTCAAATCTTGCCAAGACAGGGTAAGACAGTTTTGGAAATTTTCCTGCCTCTGAAAATGGTCTGTCAGTTACACTAGGCCTTAGCCAAAGTTGGTTGCTTCAATGTTGCAAATAAGACTTTGGGTGATTGCCCAGGTAGTCAGTTGCCTCTGTCATGTATTATACATTTTTGGAAGTTGCTTGATTGCCCTTCCTGCTTACTCCAGTAATATTTCCCTTCTTGGATCTTTGATAGGGTTGAAGACTACATAGTTGTAGTTACTTTCCTTCCATGACTTGGCCAAGTTATTTATTATACATGACTTAAAGTCATTAGGATAGGATAATTAGTGAAACATTTATCACATGTTTCTTGATTGATATATTTGTCCTTTTTGTATATAATTTTGTATTAGGTTTAGGACTCTCTTATTTAAACAAAAGGGGGAGCTGTTGTAGGAATTCCTACCTCCAGCCAGTAGCCTTTAAGTTACCTGCCCACTTGGGCATGGTCTCTTATACTATTTTTATGACGATGTAAAGTGTGTGTCCGGCCTCTTTTCCAGCTGTGGGATTCGGTTGCTGTTCTCCGTTCTAGTAGAGGATTGTGATTTGTGGGTCTACCCCTAAATAAATAACCACCATTAGTCTCAATTATGAGCTAGTGTAGGATTTCTTTTAAGCATCCTTCTTCATATAGTTTCTGTGTGATTATTTCGGGAGTCTGGGTGGCTAGGAAGCGAACAAGTGGCTTTCCTACTACAGATAACAGCCTTGGCTAATTTTGGAAAACCTGATCTGTTGTCATGTGCTAAATATATCTCTGATATATTTATTTTTAAAAGTAATTTCATGGTGTAAGTTCATGTGTGTCTGTGTGTGGGTATGTGCATGTGAGTGCAGGTTTCCATGGAGACCAGAGGTGTCAGATCTCTTGGAGCTGGGACTGCAGACAGTTGAGAGCTGCCTGACATGGGTGCTGGGAACCAAACGCAGGTCCTCCTTCAGCACAGTATGTGACAGGGTCTTACACACTGATTCATTTCTTCAGCCCCCATCTCTGTTATAATATTGACAGCATCATTGTAACAGGCTGGTTTTATGTTAATCCTTGACAAGGCATGTGAATGACTACAGACAGGATCTAGACCATTCGTTCCTCACTTTAGTGTAAATATGCTCTTCAGTGCTTTGCACAATCATCACACTCATTCGTATGTGGATACTTCTCACTGGAGAAGTACTGAGTCACCTGCACAAGGGTCAGGGAAGCAGTGGAGGAAGAGCTAGAAAAACAAAGGAGTTGGCGGAAGGTGGGGTAGGTAGGCTGGCAGTGGAATAGGACTCAGCTCTGGGGAATGACATGGCTTTAACACTGGAGCTTACAGCCCTGTGATCAGAGGCACAAGATCTCTACAGGGTTGTGCTTAGCTGCATCTTGTCACAGAGTGACATGGAGCTTTTGAGTTTTCACCCTTCCCTGAGGATTTTTACAGTTAATGGATTTTGGGGGAGCGAGGGACCTTTTTTTTTTTTTCCCCAGTGGATATCACTAATGACATGCCTATGTTCCTGTAAGCAACTCCAACATAACTCACTGGTTCAAGAAACAAACAAACAAATGAACAACAACAACAAAACAAGCAGCAAAACCAGGCATGCTGGCATTTGGGGGAGCAGTTAGGAGGAGGAAGGGGCTCAGCTGGAGTGAGAAAGAGAGGGTGAAGGGGAGTGAATTTGATCAAAATGCATCACACACAGATACAAATATGCCATAGTGAAACCCATCACATATAACTGATATTTAGCTAAGAAAGAACAGCAGCGAGAATGCCGACCTAGTTGCCATGGCTACGGTGGACTCCAGTGCTGGCATCTCTCCTGTTTCTCTTTGGGAAGAGAGAACCTGAGGTTGACTGATACAGACAGAAGCGAGGGTTTGCTTTCCCATCTAGCTCAGAGCACTGGTATCTCCCAGGACTTTCTGCCACGGTGAGAATGCCCTACGCCTCTGCTGACCTGGGTCACTGAGGACTTAGCTAATGTGACCAGAGGAATGAACTTCGTCACTTTTGGTGTAATTGTATTTTGGTTTGAAACCATCTGTGTGCCCAGCAGCGGCTTTATTGGCCAGTTCTGCTCCTGAGTTTCGGGTTTGGCAATCTTGTCTCATGTTGCAAGACCAATTACTGTTTTCTTCCTTCAGTGCAAGAATCCAAACCACAAAGGTTTGTTTCTGTGTGTGTGTGTGTCCCTCCCACCAAAACACTCCTTTACTTCCCAAGAGAGCTCTTAATTGCTGGTTTCAGTACCCCGCCCCCCCTTCTCCTTGTCTTCGTTTTGTTTCTGACTGTTGCAGGACTGGTCTTGCTATATAATGCTTTTTGTTCTCACTTTGTTTTTTGTCTAGGAACATTGTTCCTTATGTCTAACCTTCATCATGCAGACAGGCCTAATGACCTCTGCTGAGAGCTTGCAGATGCTATGTAAGTTGGTAGCCATTCCCCGCACTTTAATTAAATGCCTTTTTAAACACTCTGGTTGGCTGTGTGCATGGACACTCTCTATGCTTCCTGTGATGCCCGTCCTGCTTTTTATTAAACTTTCAGTGGAATGTGCTTGCTTTTACGTGGCCTTTTCAGAGTATAATGAGGCTTGTCTTTTTCATAGTTTGGAAAGGGGGTGCGGTCATCTTAACTTTATTGACAAGAGTAGGTAGTATCTTATGACCTGGTTTGACCCGACTTGAGACAAAAACAAACATGTTTTCTTCTCTAAGCCTCAGAGGGATTGACTGGCAGAGTAAAGGGAGCATGGCTGTGGTTCAGGAGCATTTACATTTGAAAGAAAAACTGTGTTTTCACAAACACAAAAAGAAGCATGAAACTGGAACCCCGGTTGTCTTGAGAATCTACACCTTGTTTCTGGGTTTTTTTTTTGGAGGTGGGGGGTTGAGACAGGGTTTCTTTGTATAGCCCTGGCTGTCCTAGAACTCACTCTGTAGACCAGACTGGCCTCAAACTCACCGAGATCCTCCTGCTTCTGCCTCCAGAGTTGTGGGATTAAAGACCTGAGCCACCACTGCCCAGTGAGATTCTAAACTTTGTAGCAAGGTCACTTTGAGTGTTCTGAGAGAAACCATAATCTGGCTGGGGCATTTACTTTATATTCTTATTTCTTCTGAAATATTTACTTAGTTAATTTTATGTGTATGTGTGTTCCTGAGTGCATGTGTGTGCAGGAACCTCTGGAGGCCAGAGGCAGCATTGGGTTCCCTGGAACTGGAATTACAGACCACTGTGAGCTGTCATGTGGGTGCTGGAAACAAAGCCCATGTCCTCTGCAAGAGCAATGAGTGCTCTTAACCACGGAGTCATTTCTACACCCCTTTTGTTTGTTTGTTTATTTATATTTTGTTTTTTGTTTGTGTGAGGCAGGGTTTCTCTGTGTAACAATCCTGGCTGTCCTGGAACTCATTTTGGAGACTTGGCTGACCTCCAACTCGCAGAGATCTGCCTGTCTGTGCCTCCCTAGTCCTGGGATTAAAGGTGTGTGCCCACCATCTGGTCCCTTTTTAAAAGACAGATCATTCTATAGCCCAGGATGGCCTCGAACTAATATGCAGCCCAGATTAGGCTCAAACTCATGGCCACTCCTCCTGCCTCAGTCTCCCAAGGGCTGGGCTTACAGGTGTGAGCAGTCACACTCTGCTGATTGATTTGTAGGGAACAACCTAAAGAGAAGGACATGTAACCGCACCAAGGCTGGCGTTAACCCAGAGTGAGCAGAGCGGCACCTGTGTGAGTATGTGGACGGGGGGGGGGGGGGGGGGGGGAGCAGGGGGGACGGAGGGGGCGGAGGGGGGGCGGAGAGGGGGCAGGGGGGGCGGAGGGGCGTTTACACAAGATAAACAATACTCTCTTACTCACTCTTGTACCTCCAGTACTCATGAGCCAGGCATTGTATCGATGAAGAAAACAGACTCCTGGACTTGTGGAGCTCAAGATTTTAGCATAGAGTTGGGGTTGGAGAGAAAGACAACACATCAAAGGCAATAGAGAAATAAACGGTAATGTATTGGTAAATAATACGTGTATAAGTCAGAGTTCTCTGGAGGAATGGAACTGATACAATGAATATATTAATATATATATATATGTAATATACACATGTAATGTATAATAGTGCACAAACACACTACACATACACACACACACACAAAGGGGATATATTAGATTGGCTTACAGTCTACAGTCTGGGTAGTCCAATCATGATTTGTCTAACAGTGGAAAATTCAAGAATCGAATAGTGATGAACTGCAAGCATCCTGCTGTGATGGAGAATATCAGAGATTCCCTCTCTGTCTTTACAGAATGTCTTATTTTTAATGTTCATGAATGTTTTGTCTGTCTGTATGTACATGCAGTACGTACATGCCGGGTGCCTGGAGAGGTCAGAAGACAGCATCATATCCCCTGGACCTGGAGTTAGAGATGGCTGTTAGCTGCTGTGTGGATGCTGGAAATTGAACCTGGTTCCTCTGTAGCAAGTGCTCTCAATTGCTGAGCCATCTCTCCAGCCCCTAGCTTACTTCTCTTATCTAACTGTATTGGGACACTGTAACTTTTATTCAAACACCTTTCCCACATCGAATGCCCACCATGTATAAAACACTATGTTTAGAATCTATGGAGCAAAATAGGTATTTAAAGATTAACTGGACAGCAAGGGCTGTATCCTAAGAAACAGTGGCCATGCTGTGAGTTGTAGATTAGAGATAGAGGGGGTGAAGGCTGTTTCGGAGTCCAGGCTTGCCCCGCACAGCAGGCAGGTGTCATTCACGCTGGGTGATGGCTGCTTCTTGGTAATGGTCCACGTACACACGGGTAGAGAATTGCTTTTATTCTGCTTGGAATCCCTTATGTTGATTGAAGAGTCTGTCTCCTGCCTCAGGATGCACTAAATGCCGACAGCCTTCATGCTATAGGAATAAGAAGAAGCGAACATTCAGAACATTTGTCTAGCAAGTTAAGATGGGCAATCATTACATAATATGATAAATGTGGGGGGGGGCTCAGGATATGGAAGTGAATAAGACAATGAAGTCACTACTTCTGGTGACCTTTTACATGATGATTGTGAATAAAATTAATTTAGTTGGCGTACTGGACAAGCAGCAGTGTCTTTAGAATCTATTACACAAAGGGCGGAGTGACATCATATCTATGGCGTAGGACCTCAAGGAAATTTGTGAGGAGAGCAGCTGAAGTGTTTTCAAACAACAACCAACAAAGGCATTGGCAAGACCGGGGAGCTGGGGGTTTAGGACTCAGGGGCTTTGCCCTAGAATTCAAGAGAATGGAAAGAAAGGAGAAGGGTGCGTCCGTGTCAGGCCTTGAATTGCCTTCCTTCTCAGAGCGCTTTTCACTTCACTCCAGCAGCTGCCAACAGCCCTCACGTTTGTTCGTCCCTACCCTCGGTCCATTCCAGAGCCTGGTGGCTAAGTGCACAAACACTTGCCATCCCACCAGGAAGCATTTTAAAATGTATTTATTTATGATTTGTGTGTGCGCTGGTTTGATGAAAATGGCCTCCAAAGGTTCATAGGAAGAGGCATCATTAGGAGGTATGGCCTTGTTGGAGAAGTCTGTCACAGCGGGGTGGGCTTTGACCTTTCAGAAACTCAAGTCAGGCCCAGTGTCGCTTTCTCTTCCTGCCACCTGAGGATCTAGAAGTGGAACTCTCAGCTCCTTCTCCAGTACCATGCCTGCCTGCATACCACCATGCTTCCTGCCATTATGACAATGGAGTTTGGAATCACCGTTCCCTCCAGAGCGTTAAATGAAGTATGTAGGCAGGATAGGCTGGGCCTACCCTAAATTGTCAGTGAATGCCAGCCCTTGTTATTAGAACAAAAGCTCAGGACAGTAAATATGATTACCATAGATTCTTGCACAGAAAGGGAGTCTTGACTGTGAAAACATGTAAGAGAAAGCTAGGTCACGTCGGTAGAGTTGTTCTCTGTTTGTGAGAAACCCCCTCTCTCAGGGGTCACCACCAAGACAGAAACAGCCGTTAGGGTAGGTTAGGGACATCAATAAACCCTCACTGGGCAATGGTGCCCATTACAGATCCCAAAGACCACCAAGAACAGTGTAAAACACCACCTAAGAGGAACACTGAGGTGAGTTGGGGACAGGTTTGGGGACACAAACGGGTGTTCCTCTTAATCTCCTTGTGAGGGCACCCTGCTTGACCTTAGCTTTGTGCTGGAAACTGCTATGGGTTTTTGTTTGTTTCTTTTCTTTCTGGGACATCTAAAGGCTACTTGGAATCTCCAACTGTGTTTGTGTTTTGGTCAGTGGCTGTCAAGAGAGAACAATCTGCCTGATGAACTCTGCTTCATCCTCAGTTCACACACTGTGATTACAGCCTGCTTCTCCCATCAAGCCTTGCTTGCTAGTACTGGGGCAAAAGCATTTGTTGTTCCCAGTAAGCCTACTAATACCGTCCGTAGCACTCCCAGGATCAAGCCTTGGGTCTCCCTGTGGTAGGACAGGGTAGCCTCTTCCACCACGCTCCACAGACATGGCTTTTGCCAATGTCCCTGGACGTCATTGTTGAAGAACTATGATGGGGCCATTATTATGATTGGGAGTTGATCTGAGAAGGGGATATGCCGTTTAAAGCACATGATTTTGAAATAGCAGCCTTTAAATAAAAACGTTCCAGCTCACTATGTTTTGTCTGTGTGCAGTATTTCTCCAGAGTGCCCGCAGGAGCTGAGATGCCTGTGGCGTATGTTCTGGAGATTCTGAGGGTTCTGGGCAGACCCGTTGTTTGAGTCTGCACTGTCCTATTTTGTAGGCCCAGTTGCATGTAATCACAGAGCACATGAAATGTGGCCAGTGCTAGTTCAAATGTACAGCCAATGCCGAGAGCTGCCAAACACCTGCAGTGGGAAAATATTGTTGGTTAGTGAAATAATAATAAATACATATTTTGTATATGAAGTACATCATTTAATCTGTTCTCCCCTCACTTTCCCCATTTCTTTTCTTTGTTCTTCCTTTTCATGTTAATTATTGTATGTGTGTGGGGACACTCGGGTACTGCCATGGTTTGCTTGCGGAGGTCAGAGGACAATTTCCAGGCCTTAGTTTTCTCCTTCCACCAGGCCCCAGAGATTGAGCTCAGGTGGTCAGTCTCGGTGGTAAGCACTTTTACCCACCGAGTCATCTTCGATGACTCTACTTCTCCTGTTTTATTTTCACATGAAACATTTCCCTAAACATCCACCTTAAAATCCCTCTCTGTCTTGCAGCTGTGGCTCCTGCTGTGTTTCTATTGTGCAGTGCTGGGCTACCTAAGTTTGCAAATGTTTCCCCTTGAAGAGTAGTTGATTCTTGTTTCTCTTCTAAGGGTGGAGAAAGATTTATTTCATGCAGCAGGTAAGGAGGGCAGAGGAAATGCAAGCAACACACTCACACTCTTTGATCAAAGGGCCTGTAAGGGTTTGGTTTGGGACTCTTACACAAGACCATGTAGGAAAGGAAGCGTGTTAGGGGCATGTGTGCTCTTGACCGTGCTCTGGAAAGAGAAAATTCCTGAGCTTATCAGTTCAAGGTCATGTCAAGAAGGAAAGAGAGCTGACACAGTTTAGGGATGCTTGGCTCGAGGTGCCAAACAGGTTCAAAGATTGAAATGGCAGGACGGCTTGGGAGTGTACCCAGCTTGATCACAAAGCTGGTGTATAGGTATTGCCTCTGGGTATCCCCAGCTTTCTTGTAAAGATGGCAGAAGCAATGCTTCTTGGACATGCTCAGCTTCTCCAAGAAGTTTTTGTGCCAGCCAACAGGCAAACATGTCGTTAGCCTTTCTTCCTCTTCCCCTGCCACCAAGTTCTTTGACGTCATCTAGGGGTAACAAACAGAACCTCTTCTGGTTCCAGTTTAAGACTTGTGGTTTATATTGATTGATTGATTGATGCTTGAGTGAGTGATTGAGATAAGGTCTCACTGTGTAACCCTGGCTGGCCTGTAATTCGATATGTAGACCAGGCTGGCTTCGAACTCACAGATATCTGTCTGCCTCTGTCTCCTGAGTGCTGGAATTAAAACACATGACACCATGCCCTTTGAAAATGCATGTTTGCCAACTCAAAGTCTAGTTCTATCTTTTGCACTGAGAGCCAATAGCTCACTCCTCTATCTTCTTTCTCTTCGGTTGCTTTTAGAGCTTTTATCGAGAACTTTACAGTTTTCTACCAAATATTAAACTTATATAATTGAGACTCTGGCCCTGTGAGCCCTGTGGCCTTTAAGCCAGGGCTGGCTATGTATGTGTACAGAACGTCCTTCTGGCTTTAGGATTTTAGAATTCTTTTTTTTTTTTTCTTCAATTTGAGTTCTGGAAAGAGGAAAAAGAGCTAGATTAATCTGGGGGATTTTTTGTCAGCTGAAACGTGATAGAGTTTTCTGAAAACAAAAATCTTTTTAACCAACCCTGTTCCTGTTGAAATAGAAGCCTGGAGTCAGGACATCACACCAGTCACTGAGCAGGCAGGGAGGGTCAGTGCTGCCTCCCGCTGGTCAGACGAGGAACAACAGTGTCTGGAGGAGGTGTTCATGGAGTCCTTTAGTTCTGGTCAGAACTAGGACAGTGAGGGTCATAGCAGTTTGGACAGCAGCTACAAAGTGTGATTATGTGGGGACCACAACAGTTACTGAAGAGGCTTCCCTCCATACCCGGCTAAGGGTCTAATTCTTGATTCAAACGGGAGCTGTCATCCTGACAGAGCCGTTGCTCTGAGGGTGCTGGTAGACTTGGCTTGGGAAGCCGTGTGGGTCCTCAGTAAGAGCAGCTGGCGCTTTTAACCACCGGGTCATCTCTCCAGCCTGTTACAAAACATTCATTACAGAAGATGAACCGACTTTCTGAGTAAAGCCAGAATGATCCATAGTAGACACATAAGGGGCACATGCCTGTACTGTCCCAATACTCAGGTAGTCTGAGGGAAGCAACAGATGTGGTGCTCTAGACGAACATGAAGAAGACCCAATAGGTCTG